TGAGCTCAAAAGGGAGTTGAACAAAGTACAGATGTCCTCAGGGACCAGGGACTGAACGGAGGCACACTGAACAGGTGAGAGGACAGAAAGACCGACTGGGGTAACAGAGGTGGACTCAGGAAGGGTTCAGAGGGGAAAAGAGGTGTGCAAAGTGCCCTGCAAAGCTAAAACAGGGCTCTAGGGCGTAGGGGATGTCTCACAAGAGCTCGGCAAAGGGAGCGGAGGAGTCCCGAGGGGGGCTACGAAACCAAAGAAGCCTCAGAGATAACAATGAGGAACTCTGAGCGGGGAGTTCAACAAAGTACAGATGTCGTCAGGGAGCTGGGGGCTGAATGAAGGCATCCTAAATGGCAAAGGGTAAGATAAGAGCACTCTGAAGTACACAAAGAAAAAAAAAAGAAATGGAGCTAAAATGCTACAAGAGTGCTGTGGAGTACAAGAAAGGACTCAGCAGGCATCGTTACAGAGAGTAGAGGAATTATGAGGGGGCAGGGTAAGGAAAAAAGGCTTGGAGACACAGTGAGAGCCTTGGAGTCTCAGTAGAACATCTAGGCAAACTACAGATGACTAAGTGAGGGAGGAACCGAATGGAGACACCCTCGATGGCCGAGAGACAAAAAAGCGCTGCATAGCAAAGAAAGATGGGAGGCTCCGACTGAACGAGAGCGATGGAAAGGGAGATGCAGTGCGACAAGGTGCCATAGAGAATGAGGAAGGTCTCAGGAGGCGTCGTGACTGTGAGGAGAGGGGTGCTGACGGACAAAAGGTGGCTTGGGACGACGACGACGAACTCAGGTGATCATCTGAGCAGAGTACAGACGGTCTCGGGCGGCCAGGGACTGAACACAGGAATCCTAGATAGCATAGAGGAACAAATGAGTGCTGTACAGCTCAAAGTACTACAAGAATGATGTGGAGTACAAGGAAAGGTCTCTGGAGGCATTGTGAGTGGGAGAAAAAGTGTTCCGAAGGAGCCAGAGAAGCAGAAAAAGGAGTGGGGACACGACGATTAAATCCAGAGGGGATCTGAATTGAGTAAATGTGTCATCAGACAGCCAGGGAACGAACAGAGGCACGGCTAGAGGGAAGAGAGGATGGAATAACTGGGCTGGTCACAGATATGGACTCAGGAAGTCTTCTGAGGGAACAAGAGGGGTGCGAGGTCCACTACAAAGCTAAAGGTGTGCTAAGGGCAACCTCAAAGGCATAGACATCGTGACACCATTAGAAGGACCCCGAATAAGCCAAAGAGACCAAGGAAGGCTCAGGGACACAAGGAGGAAGTCTGGAGGTGATCTGAACAGACTACAGATGTCCTCGGGAGGCCGGGGACAAAATGGAGGCACCCTAGATGGCAGACAGGATGATAAGAGTGCTCTGAGGCAGAAACAAAGCCAAGGACAGGTTTCTGAGAGAACAAGAGAGGATCAAAGTCCACTACAGAGCTAAAACAGGGCTGCGGTACACAAAGAAGGTCTCGGGAGGCAGGGTGACTGGTAGCAGAGGAGTTGTGAAAGGCTCAGAGGGATAAGAGAGATTGAAAGGGAGGTGAAGTGCTACCAAAATGCTGTGGAGCACAAGGAAAGTCTCAGGAGGCATCCTAGGTGGCATAGAGAAGAAAAAGAATGCTCTTTTTTGGGAACAGAGATCTTAGGAGAGGTGCGATTGCAACAAACGAACTGGATAAAAACAGACAAGGAAAGAAAAATTAAAAGCAATGGGGTAGAGGACAGACAGGAAACAATTAAGCAACAGGGAGAGACATCTTGATAAAAGTAGATATAGAATGAAAGTTTGTGAAGTGACAGGATACAAGAAACAGGAAAAAATTAAAAAATAGGGACAAAAACAAGATAAAAGTACACCTAGAAACAATATTTTAAAACCAAAATTATGAGAGTAAAAAACTGAAAAATAGGGACAGTGAACTAGAAGTAGCCATAGAAAGAAAATTTAAAAAGCAATGCAGTTCATGACAGGAAAAAATTAAAAAATAGAGATAGGAACTGAATAAAAGTAGACATAGAAAGAACATTTTAAAAGAGACACAAGTAAGGAAATAAAAGGAAAAAAATTAAAAGTAAGGACAGCAAACTAAAATGGAGACACAGAAAGTAAATTTAAAAAACAACAGGACACACGACAGACACAAAAGAATTAAAAAGTAGGGATGGGAGCTTGATAAAGGCAGACATAGAAGGAAAATTTAAAAAGTGACAGCACTAAGAAAAGACAAGAAACAATTAAAAAATAAAGCCAGCGAACAGGATGAAAGTAGAGATAGAAAGCACGTTAAAAAAAAGGACTAAGAAAATAAAGGGAAAAAAGATGAAAAATAAGGACAGTGAAACAGACAAGAACAAAATTTAAAAATACAGACAGTGAACTGGATAAAAGGAGATATAGAAAATATTAAAAGTGACTAGCACTGCCAGCCCTGTCCCCTGCCCCAGCACCATCAGCACCTGCACGAAGCCCCAGAGACTCTGGAATGCAGCAGGGCCCCGCTCGGGCATCAGTAAAGCCTGAGAAAAGATCTGGGGGTTTATTTTTTTGTTATACTTGCAGCTTGGTTTGGACCTTTTTCTGTGGTTTTGGAGGACTGCCGGCCCACAGAGTGCGACTTCCGGAGGACTGCCGGGCACTTCCGGTCAGCTGGAGGACTGCCGGCCCATAGAGTGCGACTTCCGGAGGACTGACGGGCACTTCCGGCATCCCGGCCGCCCTGGAGCGCGGTAAGAGCCCGTACCGGAGCGCTGATGGCCGTTTCCGGTGCCAGGCGGGGTGGCCGGCGCTGCGGGAAGGTGGCGGTGCCCATCCGTTGCCGAGAAGCC